TGAGTGTGTGTACTGGTATATATGGTTTATGAGGACACAAATGTGTATAATGACCAGTGGTGTAATGTAACGAAGTAATAATACTTCATTACAGTACTTAAGTATTTTCTGGGAGTATCTGTACCTTGAGTTTTTATATTTCAGCCAACTTTCACTTTTACTCCACTACATTTCCTAATTATAATGTATACTTTTACTCCGATACATTTCCCCAAAGCATATTCATTACTTACTACAAAATAAAGTCGGAGGAACACAGAATGCAAGAAAGCAGGTTTGACGAATCAGTGGTCTGGTGCTTACAAGTTAAGACTCCTAAAAAACACCTTTGCTCATGTGCAAACAAGTGCTCGCACAACCGCAGATGATTTCATTTTCCACTCAAGTCGAGGCTGGGGTGTGCGACATACAGTATATTGTCTGAGATAATGGTAAGTGTTTTTACGATGTGCAATCAGACATTATTGAGTATATCACAAAAACACACACAGAGAGTGCACACATGCACCACGTGATTTAGTCAATTAAAACGCATTTAGAATCATCCAAATTCAAGGCATTCTAAATTGTAGGTGGCAAAAATGCCCCGTATGTCTTTTATATTTATATAATTTAATATAGTTAATCTGTATCACATGAAGAGTGCCGTTTTTTTTCTCCAGATATCAGCATGATAACAAATGTAATATTGATTTAATACAAGTTTAATAAAGTTAGCATTAAGTGACTTACATTTTAGAAACAATATTGCATGTTTTTGCTCAATTTTGCCAACGAAAATAGTTCCAAATAAAGATAACAGCACTGTTTTGCTTCTCTGAGCAACACACAGGATGGTGTTTCCTTATTGAATGAATCAGCTTTCTGAATTAATCGGTTGAATGAATTTCACTTATTAACAAAATCAAATGCTTTGTTCCTGAATGAATCAGCCGTTTAAATGAATTGGTTGACTGCCACCTGGAAGTTTTAATTTCACATTTCAACTATTTTTTCATGTTTTAAATCATTTCAAATATCAGTATTCAGTGTTTTATATTTAAAATAAAGCATTATTTATGCATTTGTAACTGCAGGTTAAATGCATCCATGCCCC